ATATACTTCAGTAAAGGCTTAACGCAAACTTATTCAATCATTACCACCACATTATTCTATAAATAAAGATTTCAAAATACAGCCATTTAAATGATTTTACTTTGCATTTTAAATGATCCTGAACATGCAGACACAAACTAATTTCACAGACTGTTAGCCCAAGCTGTGAAGTTTCTAAACGTTACTCTGATGGAATCAAGTATTTGAATGATTTTATCATGAACGTCACCGTAGGTGTCTCTGATATCGTCTATAAAATCACTCCACTCGTCTTCCTCATATAGGACACATATTCTATCAGCGAGTTTAGAATAGTCCACTTCCTTTGTGGAATCTTCATTGATATCAGTATTAGCATTAGGAGAAGGATTTTCGTCATCAGAATTGTCAGATGGTCCATTTATTATTTCATAATCCTCCTCAGTAGTCTCTTCCATGTTACAAATCTCCCATTCTTCTATGTCAGAGTCAAGAGATGAGCTTTTATCGTCCATTTCTAGGTAGAATTGTGTTTTTTCTTCAAATTATTGAACTGAAGATTTTGAATTGAGTTTCCAAAGAAACGTGTTTGATGTTAACTATGATTTTGAAATCTCACATACATGAAAGTTCATCTTATCTACCGGTACCAGTATTTTCTACAATAAAATTTTTAAGTGTACAATTTTTTTATAAAATCTCTTATGACCATTGTGTACTGTACCTAATTTTTTTCAAAAGTTTATTTTATATGGTCATCTTTTTTGCAATGTTTAGTTAAGTTTTTATTGTATTTTTCATTTTATGGCTTTCAAAGAATTAAGATCTTAGAGAGTATGAGGTTTTTAAAGCCTCATTTTGAAATCTCACAATGCTCTACTTTACAAGATTACGTAAGCTATGTAGGATATCAACAAATATCAACCGTTATAAATTTGTTATCTTCAACACTTAAAAATGCAAAGAGTTGATAACATAATATTTTATTTATTGACAACATGCTTTTAAAATGAAAAGGTTGACACAGAGTCATCACAATGTTTCAATTTAACCACATTCAAACATTAACACCAATTTAGTAGAATTTATCACCAATATAGTAAGGAGTTATCTTGACTGGGCCGTCATAGTTAAAGTCAACGTTGTTTTCTTTGCTAATGTTGAAGCAAGAGTTGAACCAAGGCTCCTTCATCTTGTGGTCTGTTATCTGCAGGTGGTACCGCCTTCTAGAGGTCAAAGTTGTCGCTGACTTCGGCATTGTCACCATACGATACTTGGTAGGATCATGGCCATCTTTTGGTCTTTCTTTGCCTCTATTTTTATCAAAGTCTTCCTCCTCATCCTGTCTCCCTTGCCGAGTTTTACCTCGATCTTTGTTTTCACCTTTTTGATTTCTGTCTTCTTCATGAGATTTGTCTCTTGCTTCCCTTGCTCCTTTATCTTTATAGTTTTTCTTATCACGATCCTTGCTATCAGATCTATGTCCATGTTTATTTTTTCCATCTTTATCTCCTTCATCATAGCTTGTTGTTGATCTTGTACCTCTACTATCATGTTTTTTCTTTGCATATTCTTTATCTCCTGCCCTCACATCTTGTTTGGAGATTTTACCATCAGACCAATCATGATAGCTTTCCCTGGATTTTGTCTTTGTCCCATGTTTTCTCCCATCATCGCCATATTCTGTTCTTGTTCCCCGTTTACTTTTTCCATCATCATGTTCCTGATCTCTGATTCTCCTCCATTTACTGGCATTGCTTTCATAAGAATCGTCATCTTTAGTACCAGGCATTCTTCCTCCTTGGGATTCCTTTCCTCCATATTTTTGTGGTGCATAATCAATTGATTGACCACTTTTTATAGACTTATCTATATTTTTTAGTGGTGGTTTATCGTAGATATATTCTCTCCTGATATCATCATATGAGGATCCATCACTTAGCCTCCTGCCATCTTTTGCATCATAATCTCTGTACTTCCCTTTCCTCCCATCTCCCTTTCTAAAATCTCCATCCTCAAGGCCTTCGTCCCATTCATCCAACATAATTAAAACTTTAACTCTTGATGATGGGTGAGCTTTCATTTCTTCTAAGTCCTTTGAAAATGGAGTACTATGATCTGTGGGCGTGAAAGCAACTGCCATAGCAGTAACCGCTTCATTGGCATTTGCTATTGAACCCATCAAAGTTTTGTTAATAGGCGTTTTGCCACCCATTATAGAAGCTTTTGCATAAAGAGAACCAGTAGTTCCTACATTTTGTTTCTTTATTAGGTTATCAATTGTGCATCTTCCTTTTTCCTCATCCCTTACGTCATATCCTTTACACTCGTAATTCTTACATCCTTTGATTTCATAGTAACTTTCTCCTTTTTCAGTTTGTCCTGCAATTTTTGTTTTAGGGTACAAACAAGTTTTCCCCTCAGTACCACTATCTGGTCGTTGTTCTTTCTCCATTACTTTCTGCGACTTTTTACTTCTGAGTTCAACCATGTGGTGTCTATCACTATCTGGTACTTCAGTATTGAACAAACCCGGATTCCTATTGGCATTTCCATTACTAGACATCAATACTAGTTCTTCCATTTGGTCTCCATAAATTATTGATTTCCTTTGGGAAGTCAAGTCATCGACGGCTCTCTCTTGGTGTAAAGAAGTCCTTAAATTTTGATTGTTTTTCCGAAAGTATGACTCAAAGGGGTCTGTTTTCTCCCCAGGCAAGGTCACCTCGCCTGTGCTCGCAGTGTTGACGATTGTTGCTCGTCTTTGCCTCAGTGGGAACTCTAGATTCTGATGTTCCTCAGCACCCGGCAGTTGCACGAGCATGATCGGCGGCTCATCTCTCCGGACACTATGACGCAGGATATTATCCAACCTTTCTGGATCACTTTCTTCTTGAGTTAAATATCTCTCATTTTCGTTACTCATCTCAATGTTATATCAAATTGAATAATGATTTTTGGAAAGAAATATATTGAATATTAAAAGAAACGGAAAACCATTATGATATCTTCTGATATATTTCATTCAAACGATGCAACTGACACCTACAAAAATGCTAACTTTAGATTTCCAGTTTTCTTCCAATAGTAAGTTATATAATTTACCCTATCCGTTTTGATTGCATGAGAGTAACTAAAGGGTGGTAGGACTTATAGTAAATATAAAACAAGTATTTATAAATATATCAATGTCTGGCTATTCACTGACAAACCATATCACTATATTTTTTAAGATTGAACTACTTAATTCCAAAACCTTAGGTACCTTCAACAGATAAAAGTTTAACATACTCTGCAATGAGACAAAGCGGTAAAAGAGAAAACAACAAATTTATTGATTTCAATTTATTATTCATTCCCTGGTTACCAATGTTTGTGTTATCTGTCGATGTTGCAGCCTCTAGGCTATAATAGTTTGGTTAAGAAAAAAGTGTAATCAAAAAGTTTGCTTACCTAAGGGAGTAGTAGGGTATGTTTTTATATGTTGCCAATGTTACAATTAATTATTTCACATTCTTTGGTAACGTATCTGTATTAGATTTTTCCTGAAATAATACAATTTGTTTTTACAAAATTTAAAAATACAGTTAATACGTCAATAAAACTTTATAGTTTCTAACATCACGTAAAACTTAGTAGTTTCTAACATCGCGTAAAACTTTGTAGTTTCTAAATTGATTGAAACCAAAAACTTTCTATGAATGCGATTTTTTTAGATCTAATTTTGTTGTCCTTAAAGAGATAGGTAGCAATTTTAAATTTTAAAATTATGAAACCCATCGTTTTGCAACATATAGGCCTACTAGCTACAATTATAAATAAGTGAAATAGCTAGTCACCTCATTATCATTGAACACAGAAAATTGAAAGTAGATTATCAATGGTAAAAACTAACCAATCATATTTTAACTTCATCATTTCATTAATCTGTGTGCACTATTTTTAAATTTTGTAAACAAAAAAATTAAATGATCACATTATGTACGGAAAAACATTTCTGTGAAGCGATTCAGAGAATACAAATCTCTAGTCAATTTTATATCTACAACTAAGTTTGTTCCATTTAGAAATTGACTTCTTATTATAAAAGCCACTTTGGGGGTTAGTAACCAATGTACTGGGTAGAGTTAGAGCACTTTCACTTTCCCAACAAACTACTACCAAGAAAACTTCAATTTACCAATCATAGTAATGCGATCTTGTACCATTAAATACTTGAGAATGCAGTATATTGTATACTTACAGGGTTTACTCCAAATTTATCACAAAACATGAAAGTGTAGAGTTTGATGTTGTTGTGTTTACTTTGAATTTGAAATTAACTAAGCTGTTTGCTTACCATATGATAATAGATTGCCTTTATTATGTTAAAACCCCTTAATGGATACATCTGAATGTTTTTTTTAACATATGTTTGCATAACAATTTTAGTTTTAAGTGTTTGCTACCTTCTTATATGTAAACAAATATATATAATATAATTTGAGATTAGTTCTTATCCAATAGTCAATGCTTAACGACCTTAAACTCTTTCATGAATAGTTTTTGGGCCATAACAAGTTTTTTTCCATTTGAGTCAATAGTTTTTGTGTTTTATAAGAAATCCCATTGACTTTGTTCATACAAGTAGGTAGTCTTTTCCTATTGTTGAATTCAAATTCTCTTCGATATTTGTTTCATATTCGTTACGTTTGAGTGAGCTGAGACTATATGTTTCTTTATCATAACAATTTTAAGATTTGACCTTACTATTTTTTTCTTGTCCGGTGCTTTTTTCAGTGATGAAGAGAGTGAGAGCTTTAAACACATTTGTTTTAGTGCGTCTATCCGCTAGAAATGCAAGAGGACAAGCACAAGCAATTGCTAACAAATATATTGTTGAACTTAGTTTAACAAGTTTTTAAACTGGTGTTGTAGCAGGAAATAAACTTTAAAAAAGTGGCATCTGCAAAAACCTCGATGTATTAGATTAATTCAGTGGTTTGTTGCTATATTTAATCTTTTCGATTACTTTTTTTCAGAGACGTTTAAACCCAGTAAAATTCAGCATGTCCCCAGACCACAGGTACCTCTTGCTCATCCACAATGCTCAAAAGGTAAGTAAATTTTAAAATTACTCTAATGAACCTGTTAACCATTAACTGTCACTTTTTACTTACACTTATTACTTTCAATTTTTATTTTTCTTCTTCATTAGTTCCCTCTTTCTCATTCCTCAGTATTAATCTCTACCCTTTTATACAATCTCTAATGTTCCGTCTTTATCTTTATCCCTTCCCCCACCAAGAGTAATTTTACCCTTTTATCTTTATTTTTTTTATTCACCAACTAATATATTAATATGTGGAACCTGATACACACCATAGACAAAAAGAATTAAATATAGACCGTCAGCCGTGCTGCGGTTACCATGGTTACCAAAGGTTCCGGCGCACACCGCTGTAGTTTACGTAGCGTGTACGCCATAACTACATGGCGCTCCAAGCGGACTGTGCCAGAACCTATGGTAACCACAGCACAGCTGACGGTCTATATTTAATTATTTTTGTCTATGTACATACTGATATTATTGTGCATTAAAATGTACTTTAACTAATTATGTATTGTAATTTTCTAGCTTTTCCGGTATTCATTTCTCGCCCAGTACTCCATTTATGATATTGCAGCAATGTAAGTAAAAAATGTGTGATGTTTTAGTATAAACAATATTTTCATTACCGGTAATCAAATATTGTAAGAGTGGACATTTTACAGTTCAAGTCAAGTCAATGATTTGTTTTCACATAAACGTTTACAATGGAACCCGCATAGCTGGGTAAACAGGTGAAATTGTCAAATTCAATTACAAAACAACTTAAAACTATAAGATAAAAAAGGTTTAGAATATAATTTGAAGTAGGTTGAAAATGATCATTTAGGAAATCTTGTACACTATAATAAGAGTTATCTGTAAGCAAATTAGACATCTTTTTTTAAATAAGTTACAATATTTTTACTTAGAAAATTAAAAACTTTGGGTTGAACACTGCTCTCCTCTAATAGCTGTTTTATCTGTTGCATCTTAAATCTTGAAATTTCGCTGTTAAGATAAGCAAACTGGCAAACTTCTCTCATTTGCTCTTTTGAATTAGAAACTTTCCTGAATATGTTTACACTAGAGATAGCAACAACTTAGGGATGAAGTCTTTCAGAAAATATTCCTCAAACTTAACCGTATCCGTTGTCTGTGAAATCCTTGAAGTGATTGCAAAACAAACTTAACTTGATTTGATTTTATACAAAAGTGGCTGAAAAGTTCCACCTACCTCAAACAAAAACACCTCTGGGGGTTGGGTGACTTTGTTGAGCTGGATACAGTTCATCGTTTTTGGAGAAAACTAACTGAATTGAACAGTGTTATTTAATTTTGTTGGAATATATAATAACTTATAAAAATGGTATAACCTACCTGTTCTTGTTGATAACTAATCTTAAAACAGTTATTTTTTTATAGTCTGGATAAAGTATATACCTATTAAAATGTTGGCAAACCTGTTTATCTCCACTTTTATTTAGCTTATCTGATGGTAAAGCACACTTTGTGGGGGTTTGGGCTGTATTCTTAAGGTTTTGACTTACTTGATCATGTTAACTTCTTCTGAAGGACCTTAACTCTTCCTTTCCAACACAGGTTGATAGTGTCTCTCTTTATCTCTTTCCAGGATTTTCGCCTCTTTCATTTAACTCCTCAATCAGTGTCCTTTTCCACGTGTTTCATAGTCCTTTCATTCTCCTGCTTCCAGCAGGGTTCCACTCCAATCAGAAATCAGAAATCCTTTTCTAAATTGTCCTGTGTTGTACCAATGTCCTTCATAATCTCCCTTCTATAATCCATGAATTTTTAGAAAATAGGTTTTAAGATGTCAGTGAAAACCAACATGCGTAAACTGTTAAATAGATACATCTTAATAACTTTTCTATTATAAAATGGTGGAACAGTTGCAAATAAATAAATGTGTGCAATACATGACTTTTAATTCCTCACAGACCACACACATTATCTGCTTGCTATGCCAGTGCTTATTCAATAAAGTTGTCACAAGCTTTTTTAGGCGAAACCGGCCCAAAACCATTGAAACTTATTTAACCCTAATTTTTCATTGTATCAACAGTACAAAATAAAACATTATAAGATTCTTTTTAGTGAGTTACACTACGTACCTTAGGTTTGTTCTTACTAATGTTATTTGCTTGCAGGGACATCATCCCCCTGACCCCCACCCCTGACGAGGACGACCACCCTTACCTACTACACGCCGCCTGGACTCCTCGAGGCCACTCTCTCATCATGGTGTATAACTACGATGTCTACTATCGCCCCACGCCTCGCGGACGACAGGTCTACAGGGTGTCCAAGACAGCTGTGCCAGGAGTCATCAGCAATGGCGTTCCGGACTGGCTGTATGAGGGTGTGTACAGATTAGAACCATTCATCTAACGATTTTTATTTGTCAATAAATAAACCATATATTTATATACACCAACATGCGTATATAACAAAAACTTTTTGGGGCAATTTTTATTTGTTAAGCCTTCAAGTTCAAGAGATTATTCAGTGACTTAATTATGTTATGCCTATTATTTGCAAGTCTTTCCTTATCTTAAAAATGCCAAAATACCGATTCTCTGAACAAAAGAGGGTTTTGATGAACACACACTGTACAGATAAGCAAAAAGGTAGCAAACATGTTAACTGTAATAACGTTTGATAGTTTGCACATAAAGTGCAACTATCAAAAAATGCACCCATCACTTCAACTTCCACCCGAGTCTTTCACTGTTTATTTTATCTTCCATCAAACGCTACCACAAACAGGTGAGCCATCTGTTAAATACAAGACCTGATGGAGACAGAAGTCCAATTCTCAATACTTGGTGATGTATTCTGACCAAGGACAATACCTTGGATTGCTTGGCTATTGATCAGTCACACCGGACAAACAATACTAGTCAACTCAAAGCCTAAACATGTAAATTATTGTAGCCTACTCCTAAGCAGCACATTAAATGAGGTGTATTGCTCTAAACTTTGTTTGTACAGATGTTTACCTGATCAGTAAAATTCTAGTGTGCCCTATGTTGTTTAATTTTTTTTAATTTTATTTAGAGGGATCCTCTAATATTTAGTTATAACACAAGATTACAAGCATTAGTTTATAAATATATTTTTTATTGATACTAAATATGTGCTTGAATTTAAAATTGGGGTTAACGTCAAATTAAGCTTTGCCTATACAGGACGGAATATCTTAAAATTGATTTCAGCCACACAAGGAAAATAAGTCTCTGAAAGTATCTCTAAGATTCATCTTTAAATTAATAAGCAGGGACAAAAAAAATATATCTGTCAATGATGTAGAATTCTTTGAAACAAAAAGAGTCTGTAGACAGGAGACAGCCTTGGGTCATGTAGGTATGTGGCTTGTTGTACAGACTTAACGAACACCTGTAGTTGCCGAGAACTCTTCACCTTACTTGACATTACTTCTTCCCCTTCCACCCCTCTGCTTCTTCTCTACATTCTACCGATCTCATTGTCGCTGACAATGTCAATAGTGAAGTACAAATATTACGCTAATTAGTTTATTATTTTTATAGTATTTACCAATGTGAAGAAAATTACATTTTAAAAATTGAATGTTTCTTATCTATTTAAAACATTGAAAATTATGAATTTTTACGTGGGGATTTTGTTCTGTATATATGACTTAAGGATGAAAAGCGCTATCTCTTTGAAAAACAAACAAAAAAGCTAAATCTGCTACTGTACTGTTGTTTTCAAATCCAACAACTCAATTCCAGAGGAGATTCTGAACCACAACACAGCCCTGTGGATGTCCGAGGATGGACACATGCTGCTGTACGCTTGCTTCAACGACACCCAGGTACAGGAGCTCAGGTTCCCATGGTACGGGGTGGCGGAGGAGGAACAGCCGCTGTACCCTGATATGAGAGGGCTACGCTACCCCAAGGTAAGTCAAACGCCCTACATGTTGTAAGTTTCATTGATGAAGGGCTCTGAGTCAGGATTGTGGTTTAATAGAATAAAGTATAAGTAGCCAGCTAAAAATTAAAAAACCCCCAACTAATAACCCATAGAAGACACAGAAAATAAACAACACTTCATCCTCTGCGGACTCTGTCATGTGTAGACAAAAAGATCTTGACAAACTTACTGTTGTAATGTCAGTATAATTTTACAGATTAAATTTACAGATTCTCATTGCAAGAACGGCTTTGTCCTTAGTCAACACTAGACAAAGTCCAGGATCTGGTTCTAATTCATTACGATTAGGGAAGCGCTAATGGTGAGGACTTAATACGTCAGAACAAATTTTTGAATAATTCAATAGTTCTTAAATATTTCTTTAGCTGTTTTGCAAGGATCTTTTTAGTTTAACCAATTTGTCTGATTGCAGCCCAGTACGAAGAACCCTGTGGTGACTCTGTACGTTGCAGACCTCGCTGACCCGAAGAATATACGAATAAGAGATCTAAAAGCTCCCATGGCACTGGGCCAGACCACGTAAGTTATCGATTAAGTTAAGATATGTGCCGATTATTCAATGACTGTCAATAAACACATGCTCTGCAACGTGTCTCGCTATCTTTTTCTAATCTTAGTGGAGGAAAAGGTTTTACAACCCGAGACATCTTAAGTGCTTTAATTATTACCGTATATTACACCAACACACCAGAGTGTAGCCTGTTTATAGGCAAAGATAAAAAAAGGATTTGAGTAGAAAGAATTGAATGAAGCTTTTTTACTGATTTGAGATCTGCTGGATTTTTACAGGACTATTTATTGAAAGCCCCACGATCAAGGAAACTGATAAATTCTAAGCTAGCAGTGTTTGTTTGGTTCAACAATAGAACAAAATTAACTACCAATCTCTGAAAAGAATATCCTTTTTAGTTCCCTGTACAGTTTAGTACCACTTGTTTGCTGTTGATGATGTTGACTCTGTTTGTTACAGAGACTACTATTTCTGCGCAGTGACGTGGGTTAGTTCTACAGAAGTGTCAGTGATCTGGCTCAACCGAGCGCAGAATGTGTCTATGGTGACACTCTGCAAATCTCCCATGTGGTTCTGCCAGGAGGTGAGAAAAAAAAAGAAATCACACCCTCAAATTCCAATACAAGTAGCACCCACCAGACACTTGGCAGGGGGCTTTACACTTTATTAACCGACTACAGTAGAGTATCGATTAACCAAGCTAAACAGACTGAATCAAGGTCGGATAATATAGACATTAGGAAGAAAAAATAAATTGTAAACATGTTAAGAAGTGTGAAATAAAGTTGACACGTTTACAAATCAATTCAATGTCCAAGTTTAACTTTCACTTGAAACCACTAACTTAATCTGTCCCAAGCTAAGCCATCACCACAAATAAAATAACCAACAAACTAAATACACCATCACTGTAATCAAATGGGAATCGCTCAAAATTTACCCAAATATTTTATGTGATCATTGGTCTCTTATCTTTCCCACAAGAACAGTTGTTTCAATACTACCCACTTTGGGCCAATCTAGTACGGTTAAACCTTGATGTGCTGATAAAAATTGTCTGGAGAGGGAGTCAACTGTACAGTGTAAAGTGACTCCACACAGAAATAGCGTACGATTTCACGGCACTCAATTTTTGTCTGCAGGGAGGGTTAATAATTGAACATTAGATAATTGACTCCTGTATTAAACAATCTTACACACCTGTAACTATTGTTGTTCAGACGCAGAGGGTGAGTGGAGAGGGGAGAGGGTGGGTGGACTGTCCAGGCACCCCTCAGTTCTCGCCTGATGGTAACGTTTACATCACACTAGCGCCAGTGAGGGATGGCAACGCTGGGTACTACCGTCACATCGTATCCGTCAACATACCCAAGAAACGGCTGCTGCCGCTGACACACGGCACCTTCGAAGTCAACAAGATAGTTGCGTGGGACCACACTAACCAGATTGTGTAAGAGTCTTTGGACAGTTAATTTGTTTTGTAGAACATAAAATGTGTTTGTTTTGAAGGGTACAGAGCAATGACGAGAAGTGGTGGCAATGATTATTACAAGATATTAAAGGTCACCAGAGTCTGTCCCATTTTTAAAAAAGGTAAAAAAGATATTCCAGAAAGTTATCGCCCAATGTCAATCATTTCTGTAGTATCAAAATTGTTTGAAATCATGGTTTTTGGCCAGCTGAATTCTTTTTTTGAAAGAAACAACTTTTTAAGTGTATCACAATTTGGATTTAGAAAGGGCAAGTGTACATCAGACGCAATAGATAAATTGATTAATGAGGTACTAACACGATTACTAGAAAAATACCGGTATGGATCATAAACATCAACAAATTACGTTTTTGGCCCGAAAATAAACATGATTTAAGATTGGTTAAATGGAACTGCTAAAACATATGTTCAATTCTATTAGTATAGGATTCGGGCCAACAACGTCATTTTGTTTATGTTTATGATCCATACCGGGTATTTTTCTAGTAATCGTGGGTACTAATGGTCTTTTTCAGAGGAAGTCACTTGCTCAGGCCACTTTCTGCGACCTGAGTAGGGCTTTCGATTGTGTCGACCATGATGACCTAATAATGAAATTAAGTTTTTATGGTATCAACGGATCTCCACATTCTTTTTTCAAATCATACTTAAACAATAGAATACAAAAAGTCAATATTGATGGAGAATGGTCCCAAGAATTAAAAATGAAATATGGCGTGCCTCAGGGATCTGTTCTAGGTCCTCTATTATTTTTAATTTGTATTAACGACCTCCCAGAATGTATAACCAGTAAAACTTATTTGTATGCAGATGATACAACATTTTTAAATATTAATCCCGATCTTAAACAACTTCAAGAGTTAGCTCAAAACTCAATCAATGAAGCTTCTATTTGGTTTGAATCAAATGGCTTCCTCTTAAACAAAGATAAAACTCAAAAAATTGATTTTAGCCTTAGACCCTGTGAATTAAATATGTAAGATGGTTATGTAGACAATTTTAAATTTCTTGGTATTTATCTGGATAAGACCCTTTCTTGGGGAGATCATATAGATTACATAAGTTCTAAGCTTTCAAGGGTAATTTGTCTTATAACTAAACTAATACTACCGATACTCTTAACCGAAACTGATACTCTTTTATTTTATAGATCAAAATTATATTAAAACAGCCTACTTTGCTTATTTCCAATCCATTTTCAGATACAATATTATCTTTTACGGAAATTGCAGTAGGATAGAGGAAATTTTAGTCTTACAAAAGAAGTTAGTTAGAATCATATCTTGTGAACCCCAACAGGAACACTGTAAACCCCTGTTCATTCAGCTACAAATTCCAACAGTAATTAACATTTATATATTTGACTCTGTATTATATATTCTAAAAAATCCCAACCTTATCAAACAAAATTCTCATGTTCATAATACAAGGAATAAAAACGTTGCTACCATAGATTTTTTTAGACTGTCTAAAACTCTTAAAAGTCATATTGTAATCTCACTAAAAATATACAACAAGCTAATACATTTAACAACAAAATATCCTAATAAAACTTTTAAATCTAAATTCTACAAATGGCTTTTGAACAACCCTTTTTATTCTCTAAAAGATTTTTTTGAAATGCCTTTTATTAATTTTTAAGTAGAGCTATAGCAAATTTACCAAATTACTGTTGGATTTAGTTGGTTATGGAGTTTAATAACTTTCATTATTCTAAATGCCTTGCATTTTTCTGAACAATAAGATTATTTGGTTGTAATATTGAAGTATGTATTGTAACATGTCTCCTTGTGTGTAGTATTCTTGTAAATATTGTATATTGTATTCATTAACTGACTATGCTAGTTTTAGCAGTTTTTGGACATTGTCAATAATTTGTATAAATTCACAAGACAATAAACACATTTCATTTCATTTCATATCAAGTTGAGGGAATGAGAGAGTGACGGGGGGGGGGGGGGTTAATTAAGTTGTGGCTGGTGTATGTAAACAAATTCTCTACAGTCGAACAGACCAGTCGTTAATGACAGCTAGGTTCATGTATTTTAAAAACAACAATCTGAATTCATATTGAGGAATTTCTTGGACGTTCTGCCTGCTTATGTGAACAAGTGAGTCATTTTCTGAGATTAAGCAGGTATTATTTTTTGTTCTGTGAAACGTCAAGTATAAGTTTTTGGGATCATTTGTCAAAAATAGTGCTTACATTTTGTTTGTCTGATGTGTAATGTTTAGTTACTTAATTCAATTCTGTGTCCATAACATAACCAACTTTACAACAACTGGCAAACAACTGTAAGGACTAAACTATACTTTTTATTAAATTACGAAATACACAAAAATATTACGAAGTTAATGTTGTTGCAGATATTACCTCGGTGTGCCTCAGAACAAGCCAGGTCAGCTTCACTTGTACGCGGTGAGCTCAGCCGTGCCCAGGTCTGGCACTCCACTGACAGTGCCGCAATGTCTGACGTGTGGCGCCCCTGTACCTGCGCTGACAACACACTACGAGGGAGCCGCCACCCTCGGCTCCGGCACCAGAGACACCTACGACTGGGAGGACCAGCCTGAACCAGCCACCACCACGGAGGAACCTGAACGCAAGAGGAGGAAGAAGAAAGGTATGTAATGATTACTGTGATGATAAAGCTATCACAGTCAGTTGTATTTTATTTTCATTTGAGGATGAAAACAAAACTTTGTATTGCTATTGAGGAGTTGTGAAAATTTTCTATACAAATCAATAAAGGAAGTGCTCATGGCGTGTCAGGATCTGGAATCTAGACTATGAATATATTTATCATATCAGATATGATTCTTGTAAACTCCTGTTCACGGGGATTTAAAAAATTGTCCTTGCTACCACTTTTACTATTCAATCTCGTAACCAACCTTCTACTAAGTAATGCCTTTTCTGTAATTATAGTTTAATAATGCTCATTTAGCTGTTGAGTTACTACTTTATTTTGGAATGTTTTGACTGTTAACAATAATAACTCAAGTTTATTTTTAGAGATATTTTTATCATGCAATCCTTAAGTAATTTTCCGATACAGTACTCATACATTACATAATTTATAGGAAAGCTACTCTTAATCTACATGTTATTATGTAATGGTTTCTCTATATCTTTTATATGTGTTTCAGAATAAATTTAAAGCTTTAAGTTTTTACTGTAATAAAAATGAATGTACCGTAGTACCTATATGAATTTAGCTCATGCTTTCCTTAATTGCCATTTTTACATGTGATCTGCCTAAGTAGAGACGGATTGATTTCAAAACTAATAATTAATAATGGAAAAAAATATAATGAAGAATGGATTTTAAATTTTCAACTAACGATTTCAGAGCCGAGCTTCCGCTTGGAGCCGCTCTACCGTCCTTGTACATATCACAACATCTACTTCAGCCCGGGACTGCAGTACTACATAGACGAGTGTCTGGGACCAGGCATACCAACCGTCACTCTCTACACCACCTATGGCAAGAACACGTCTGCACCTGCCATAGAAAACATCCAACCCCAGCTGTTGGCTACACTGCAGAACAACTCTAAACTATATGTGAGTGCAGCAGAAAACAGCTGATTTTTACAAAGCAGGCTTTCCTTAACTCTGTCTCAAAATATCTATCTATATATTAATAGGCAAGCATGTTTCTTTAAAACCTTTTTTCTCAGCTCGTGTGCATCGTAGGGAAAATCTACGCATACAGTTGGAAAGCTATTTTCCTGTAGGTGTGCAGAATCCCTTTATAAATTTAAATAGGCTCAAAGATAAGCACAAAAAATGAGTTTAAAAATTTGAAAAAATTAACATGGATCTTATGCGTTGCTATGCTGGTTACGAAATAACAACGAAATATAAACAGAAAATCAAAACAAATGGAAGAAACTCCAATCACATGTTTTATTTACAGTGTGGGGTGAAAATAGATAAGTGAGTACATTACATATTTTTGGTCGAGTTTCGACCACTGGACGACCTCTCGTCTAAATAATTACAGAAAACCATAAAACACAACACAAAATGTGAAATGTAACTTGAAACTAACAATATATAATATTTTTGTGATTATTCAGTCCTAGTGATACCAGGGTCTGGTGTAAAATACTCATCTGTGCTGTAAATACTAATATTTACCACAACAATATAAAATCAGGTGAGGTTTGGCAAGAACTAAATAATATGTCTTGGAACAAATAATATTGTATAAAAATACAGTTGTACAAATTAGATCAAGAAATGGCCATTTTTGACCCTGAGAAATGTTTTAAAAACTTATTGAGGTTTAAAACTAGAATCAGATGCCCAAGTTTAAGACTGGATTACATGAGCAAGTTTGCAAGATTCTACTTGCAAAGTCGCAAGTAAGGAAGTAGGATTGTCGGCGAGTACGACCCTTGCTATTGACCATTTCTGACATCATGAAGAAGAATACTACTAGTCGCTTGTGCACAAGCAACTTACCTTGATTTACAATCAGTTTGCATAAAAGTGGTCTGTAAAGTTGACGGCAGAGTTAAATTTTCTCAGAGATTTTTTTATAGTAGCTATCGACCGAGTACACTGGGCTAGTTTATGTGTTAAAAGTAAAAAGTCTCGGTAGTAAATGGTCACCCTGCCACGTAATCTAGCTTTTTTTATTAAAGATGCAGGTTATCTTACAAAAAAGCAAGCTACAACCACAAAATAATTTATATTTTACACAGGATCCCTTAAAAACATATCGAGTTTCCTTTACTTTAAAACCATAGAGAAGTTCAAACACAGCGATAGAATAAGTCCATCCATTTTACTTTAAGATTCCCTCTTACACAGTGATTAGTAGGCTACATATTTTCTACCATGAAGTGTTCAAATTGCAGGACAAGATCTCCAAGGTGGCGTTACCTCAGGTGAAGACATTCCCTGTGCAGATCTCCGGTGGTTACCAGGCGCAAGTGCGACTACACCTGCCACCGGGACTGCGGGAGGAGGAGATCACACGATACCCACTCGTTCTGCAGGTGTAAGTAGCTACGGCACCTGCTGAATGACAGGGAGAAATGTTTAAGTTTTATTATAAGTATAGAAATTAGTCCATTATTGATTTATTTCAAAAAGACCAATGAACACATCAGTATGGATTTGTAGATGTTTTAATCAGTTCGGGTGACTTGGCTAGCAGCGTTTTTTTTCACAGAAGCTTGTATTGGTTGTCTTTGCCTGTCGGGTGGCATGTGGTAAAGATTGTGTCAATTAGGATGGCGTGTAGTGAGGGTGAGGGAAATGCTCTTAACAATACTGAGAGTCACACTACTAGGCGCTGGTGGTGTTAATTAAATTAATCCAACAGAAAATGATTGATGAGATGACTGCGCAAAAGAACAAAAGCGACTGAAAGTAGGGATGGGTTCTTGGGAGTTTGAGCAGTTTGCTTTTCTAATTAACATTATACTGCCTAACATAACAACACTCAAACCCTCAGAAAACCAGCAACAATTACCTAAACACAAGCCAAATGTTGATGTATTTTATCTCAGCTTAGGGGTGATAGCTAGTGAATTAAAATTAAAATATTTCTCAGCTGGTGAAAAAAGCTGAAATGATATTTGCAGCTTAGGGACAGCCGATGTTGAAACAATTCCGCACTCTTTGTGTCAGCAACATTGCCAGTACAACAAAGCTAAAAAAGATATCAAACTCAATAACGGTACTCAAAAATTTCACATTTTATTATTTTTCTACTAAAATATGTGAACGTTTCAAACGTTTGTTCTTGCAGTTACGGTGGCCCTGGGTCCCAGCTAGTGACTGATCGTTGGAAGGTGGATTGGAACACCTACTTAGCCAGTAGCCGAGACCTGATAGTGGCTCAGATAGACGGGCGGGGCTCGGCGGGGCAAGGCTACCTGATGCTGCACCAGGTCTATCACCGCCTCGGCACTGTAGAGGTGGCCGATCAGCTGGAAGTAGCTGAGTAAGTATTGATTTACACAGTAGTGATCGTAAAAAGTGCAGATAGTTCTAGTTTTAGTAGTGATTAACATATAGATATATTGTAAAAACAAGCATTACCACTGTAAAATAAATGATTTATTTCCAGAAAAAGACTGTTTAATCACGTTCATTTTTGTTTAAAACAGCGACGTAAAACCTAAATGCAAACTTTAAGCTGAGTATGAATTTAGGAGTGTAGGATGGAGTGAAATAATCAGTGTAGCTTATTACTGGCTAAGATCAGCTGTTTTCTTTAGCCAGGACCATTTATTAAAAGCACAAGTATTATGAACGACTGCTGAGTTCAGTTTTGAAAGAACAATAACTAACCACTAATATTTGGGAATGAACCTGAGACCTTTTGGTTGTGAGGGGAGCCCTAACAATCACACAGCTACCCAGATAAATTTTGTAGCAGTGGCAGTGGTAGATGATAAGACATTTGACATGTTCCCATATTCTGATATATTTGACATATCCAGATCAATTCCTATAAATTATTTGAAAAAAACATCTTTTGGTCAAAGTTGATGCGACCAGATGTACAGGACTGAATAGGACAATTCTTGTGTGAATTTATCCGATAGTCATGTAGGTACCATTTTGCTTTTTACAAAGGATTACATATAGTCAAGCAGTAAAGAACCTCTAGTATTTACAGTTACTCATAAACATGTTTACCCTCTGGATTACGTTTTTTACAAATAAAATGTTAAATAGTTGCACTGTCAACAATCCATTTTTTTCTTGTAGCTAACAAGGATTCTAAACTAAAGTTTCATTTTCAAGCTTAAGTATACAATTAGTGGGAAAAATCCTCTTCATCTTTGGGGTTGTGAAGAGTTGTCATACACTTTTAACACTTACACAAACACTGTTCTACATTGTTCTATACTCAACAGTCTGTTGATGTCCCTAGATACCTGAAGGACAACCTCCACTTCATAGATAAGCGTAGAGTGGCTGTGTGGGGGTGGAGCTACGGAGGGTTTGTGTCAGCCAAACTACTATCCACCCCTGACCAGGATGTCTTTCAATGTGGCATATCTGTGGCTCCCGTCACCTCGTGGAAACTCTATGGTATTTCAATCCATTTTAAATAAAAGGGAAAATTTTGCTCTTGGTTTTACCTGAAAGGCTGAAATATTTTTGTGAAGGTAGTTTCCCTGCAAAGATTTCCTGGGAAAGATTAAGAATGCTAGAAATGTTTTGATGGGCAATGTTTTTGGCTCAAGGAATTGTTGCAACATCAAAGACAAGTTAACAAGAAAGTTGTTTTTTGATACGGAAGAGCATATGAAGTCATCAAATAATATGGAAAAAATATCATATTTTTCATTATCATTATCATATTAATTATTTTACTATCATATTTTAGGCAAATGTCATATTTTGGAACTATAAATGAAACTTCAAAGAGTAAACATAATTTTGTTACACTATGGTTGGTTCTGTTAAGTGGTGCAAAATATAGTATAGGAAACCCCTCATAGATTGGAGGTAATCAGAAATCCTAGTTGAATTAATGAGAGTTCGGATAAGATGAAAAAAACTTATTATAAAAGGTAGTTTTGTTTTGGGAGTGTTTGGGCATTATAAAAGAAAAACCTTTCGCAGAAAACTTATTGAATATTAAAAATGCAATTAAAAATCTAAATCAAAAATACAGTTTAATGTAAGCTTTGCAACAAAACTACATTTCCATTTTGAAAACTTCACTCAAATGGTTATCCAGGTTAATATTAAGTCTGTATTATACTCTGTATTTAGGGACTGGCTATTGGTACAAGAGTCGGAACAGTCTCAGGTAGAAGAAGGGGTTAGGAGACAGGTTCCATCTAATAGACTAGTATCCTCTCTAAGAGCTATTACCATTGAGTGGTTAAAAAGTAGGTCACAAGCTTGCTCCCATTGTGGCTGGCTCCATCTTCCGTTGATGAAGGATGGTAAGCTTGAATTCCATCATCTTTCACTGATTTAGACTTTTACAAATGTTTTTCAGACTCTGCCTACACGGAGAGATACATGGGGATGCCGACACTCTCCGGAAATTACAAGGGTTACCAGGACTCGGACCTGAGTCGTCAGGTGGAAGGGTTCAAGGACAAGATGTTCTACCTGGTGCACGGCACGGCAGACGACAACGTACATCTGCAGCAATCCATGGTGCTGGCGAGGGCTCTCTCTCAGGCCGGCATCATATACAGGCAACAGGTGAACCTGGGGGTGATATTGTCTATAGAGTAGGCAGAACAGAGTAAACATTTTATGGATAAGATAAATTAGGGGGTCTTCCTTACATCTGTAGTATAATATTTAATCAATGATAAGTTTCCCGAGTGTTTTCTCAAATGTGAATGTTGCAAGTTTCCAGATAAGCGTGATATGTTTTCTTAAATGATAACATCGTGAGTTGCAGATCTACCCGGACGAGAGCCACGCCTTGAGTGGAGTCAAGAAACATCTGTATCGGTCGATGGCCAACTTCCTCGACGACTGTTTCCGCAAGCAGGTTCCACCCGAGCTGAAAGCGGGTCTTCGCAACGGTGGGACCTTCATGGAGCCATAATGTTGTGACGAGGACCAGTGTTTTACTGTCTGTAGATTCGTCTTGTGATATTAAACAATTAAGTTTCACTACGGAGGATTTGAGTTAGCGGATTCTATTTGTAAAATATCCCTTCCTAAATCACAGTTGCGATTGATTTCAAACGTTTTTAATTGCACATATATTTTTACTACCGTATTGTTTTATATTGTGCTTTTCAAGCCAAAGAGTAGCTGTGATCTGTAGTCCCTGTGATTCATTTGTCGTGTTAGTGTGATAAAAAGCAATCACAACCAATGAAGCTGAGATGTAATGAATATTTTAAAACAATCAACAGCTTGATCAGAATCCTGATCATTGTTTATCAACCTGAGAATGTCAAATTAATTTGCCACATTTTATGTTTTAGTTCCTAGCTTTTATACTTCGAAATGGACCTAACGTGTGCAAATTTTCTCATGCAATCGTTTGATCAATTTTCAAGTTTTTTCTCACATTTTTCATCAATAAAACCCTACATTTTTTTTCCAAAGCTCTGGTAATAATAACCATTGCAATTAAGAAAGTGTTAATCACAGATTGCGTAGTTAAATTCTAAATGTTGTAAAACTCCAGTTATTGATTTTTTCAAGTCTTTTTCTATCACAAAACCTCTAGCATGTTTTGTACTTTTTTACTCTAAAGTGTATTAATTTTATTCAGTTAAAGATCTATAGGCTTAACAAGTTACTTTAGGAACTGGTATGTACTTACATCTGGTCGTAAGCTTTTGCATGGATATGTTGTTTTTGAAAGAAAAATGTTAACACTCTCCCTTTCAAACAAAATGTGCTACTGAAGGATAAATTGTATGCAACTACACACAACCCGCTTTAAATCTTACATTAGATATTCATCAAATGCACCAAGGCACTTAACGATTTCAAGGAAAGAAAACACTAAAAAGTTACAGTAGTACCGTATGAGCATATGTAAAATTATTTATTTTATAATCTTTTGCCACATTCTTTCTTTGGCATACCTCAAAATAGCCATTAAATTAAAATGCACAATTTCTTTCTTTATGGCTGGATTACAGTTGTTACTACAAATTATTGTTGATAAAATAAAATGATTAGGTACCTTATCCAACCACAGTTGTTGGTATGATAACTAGTTTCGTTCCTTAGAACTTCATCAGGTCATTTTGTATTAATACATCAATGTATTAATACATTGTGGTATGTCAATAACTCTTTAAGAAACTATCACAATCACAATGATTGAAACTTGCCATATGGAGTAAAAATTGATAAAACTGATTAAAAATTTACAGGCTTTTTAAATTTACAATGCTAAAAAACTTGACCATGTAACATTCTAAATGATCAGACTTCTTTCCAGTCAAATATTATATTTGATACATATATTGACAAGTTACTAATCAAAGACGTATAGAATAAGAACAAAACAAACTGAAATATAGGTGGCACTGGAGAGAAGAATAAACATCATGATTCAGTCAGTTTTATTTAGTCAGTGGCAGTGATAGACAGTGCTTGCCAGCATGTACATTTTTAATCAATTTTTATTCCATTTCTATTTTATCAACATGACAAGTGTCAATTATTGTGATTGTGGTCGTTTTTGTAAGAATCTATCAAAATACCACAATGTATTAGTACATTGATGATGTTATTGCATACAAAATGACCTAATGAAGTTCTAAGGAACAACAAGTCGTCATACCAACAAATGTGGATGGATAAGGTAATAATTTTATTTTATCAATAATATATTCCAACCAAGGGTCGCAATGAATAATACAAATTATTGTGTCTCTATTCTCATACCTAAGGAGTTTCAATAGAAAGGAATTTATTTGTCAATATTTCGATAACCTCCGCGCTAGCTACTGGTTCACTTACTATTTAACGTACCAAAACAGTCAATTGTTATTCTAAGGATTGAACCCTTAAACAAATTACTTTAAGGTCAAATGAGGAGTTGATATCTTGGGAGGAGTTTTAGGAAAGCTACATTTCTTATTGGGTCCAAAGTGTGATTCTTGTATGTAATGAAATCAACCGGACACTATGTGCATTATATAAGCTTACAATGCTTCCTTTTTAGATTTATTATTTTAAAATCTGTAGATTTAGATTAGGAGTGTTGTTTTTAATTAATGAAACCTACGGTAGAAATAGATTGTATAGTACTGTTCAGTAAGTAATAAATACGGTATTGTAAAAAACACAGTTCTGTGATTAAAATTTTGTGTAAAATGTTTTAATTTTAAACTGGATGTTTGAGAGCTAGAAACTAACCACAATCTTTTGTTAATTGAAAATAGTTGTATTTTGATTGATTAATATCGTTTCTTTCAGTTAATATTATTGTATTTATATATTACAGATTGAACAAACTTATAACTGATTCTCTTTTAAAACAAAATTGTGTGTATTATTTTGCATTATCTTGAGTTCTGACATCAACAAAACATGTTAGTAGATTCTAGTTTTCAAACCCAATTAGAGTGGTCCATCTTAACTTAAGTTTGTACATAACTGCATATCTAATTCATCCACATTTTTAAACTACAAAAAAAACAATAAGTGCACTTCATTAAATGCACTTGGTAAGTCTAAATTCAAAGTATAGCTAGGTAGGGTAAATGTTTTTGGAATTTGCTATCCGAGATTCGCGTAACCGTTACTAAAGTTAATACGGTTTAATCCAGAACGTATAACGATCGAGTTTGGTATAATATTAAGAGTATAATATAACTGACAAAAAGCTCAAGTGAAAAGCAAATGAAAAGGCTCAAAGACACCTGACTTGCTCAGAGCCAAGGCCACAGAAATGATCAGATTGATCTGGCTAGGTCTAGCTAGTGTAGAAGCTTGGTGGGTAGATGGTAGGTCTTTGCCTTGGAAATCCAACATATTTCACGGGCCGCTCTCCTACTTCACATCATGTGCTTGTTTGAACTACTACACGGTTAAATCTATTTTCATCTTCCTGCAGCATTGACTAGAAAAATTGCTGGATATGAAGGGACAATGTATCAAAAAAGTCGGCTATTTACGAAGGCTTCTACATTTTCACCCTATTAGTTCACCATTTCGAATACTTAAGGATTAGCCGCAGGGCGTCCATTTAACTGTTCCATTATGGGGGCTTTGAGGGTCTGAGGAGTCCCGAATAACTCCCAGTAAAGAGGGGGGTCCAGGAGGCCTCCCCCGAGAAATAGTTTAAATTTAGGTATAAAATGTCTGTGTTACGTATTTCTTACACTCCTCGGTCATATGCCTGAATTATTAACTTTTTGTTTTTACTGCACAATCTAAAAATATTTTATTAACGGTCTTTTAGGGTGGGCTCAAGTCCCTCCTAGATTGTTGGGCATCCATGGAAGCTTAGTTTTAGTTGACTGTACAACTAGAATTGAATTACAATATGATTTTTTTTTTATTTACACAAAATAGTTTCTGTTGATGATTATTACCAAAAACATCTTATCCATCAACGATTCTAATATCTCTTATATATTAAAATTATCTATAAATCTATCTATATTAAAATTATAATCAAGTTCTCAAAGATAAAATAATATTAAAACGATACACAAAAACAGCTTAATTTATTGATGTAGATAGTATTAAAATATTTTTGTACGGTTTTTATTTGTTTAGTATGTGTTTTCCTAGCGGTGTGTCAATAATCGGGTTTTACTAAAAAATTAAAAATATTAACCCCAAACTATGATTTATTCTATACTAGTTGTAAATGTTTAAAGTACTGTAATGGTACTTATTAATAAAAATATATTTCTTAACTGCAGAAAATATTTCCTCGCTTTGTCAATAAGAGAGAAGTAGGCACATGATGAGAAGTAGGTTACGAGTATTAGAATCTTAAAACTTATAACGGAATACATAATGGATCATTCAGTGTAAATATTTACGAAAGCTTGTTGAAATATTCAAGTTACAATATGAATATCATTTACCTAAAGGAATAGTAAATATTGCCTTCATATTTTAACATTTCATTCCACTTTTACCTGTTCTAATGTCAGTATTAATACAATAAGGGGTTATTGTAGCATCCCACCTCCATGACAATATTGCAAAGTATTAAGACATGTGTCATTAAATATGATAGATATAATTTTGATTAATTAACCTCTTTTAGTTTATAAGATTATTTATTTATAAATTATTTAAAAATTTTAGGAAAAATCTTTTTAAAGATTCCACAAAGACCGAATACTTTATAATGATTAAAAACAATATTGTAAATTACCTTTACGCATAATCTTCGTGTACTTAAGAAAATTCTAGGATTCAACCATCTTTCATTAACTGTTTCATCTACTGTACAATTCAATAAACAAATAATTTTGTTCCGATTATCCTCTTCCAATATGCAATTAGTGTAGTACTTTTATATTTTGACAATCACTTAGCAGTTAAGTTTGTTGATTGAAAACATTAACTATCAAAGAATTTTCGAGATGTGTTTGTTTAAATGTTTCTTGGTTTACACAGGTTGACTAAAACAGAAGGTAAAGTGTTAAGTTGACTCAACAGAGTATGTATTAACTCTCAAGTTTTATAATTGCTGTCGCAATTAGTCTGACTTTTTGCTGGGCAAGTAGGTCTTTCGCTCCTTCATGTAAAAACCCTTTAAAACTATGAGCTAGGGGCTGCCACATTGATTTATAACTTTCTGTTGTACTCACCCTGTGCAAAACGATCTACTTTTGTATCGAGATAGTTTTACAAATTTTAGATTCAATAATTTAATGTTTTGTTTAGTTAATCATCAGAAAATAAATTGTTTAAACAGTGTGTTTGTTGGAGGAAGTTATATGTCACATGCTTATGAAAAACAGTATGATTGGGAAATTGAGATGGTCACTACCAAGTTTTTTCTAGAATAATTACTTTCACCGTTTCCACTAATAAAGGTAGTTAACAGATTTATGGCAAAATCACAACAGTACAATTTGTGAGATTTAAACCGAGTTTGGAAATGAAAATTGAAGTTTGACAATTTTTATATTTTGGAAAAAGTAATTAGATAAACATTTTAATTCCACCCCACATTTTAATTAAACCCACGAACTAAGTCTTGAAATGTATAGTGGGATTTAGAACTTTTAAACCAATAATAGAATGGGTTTAAACGCTTTAAAGAATAACGGTTATAGTTGTGTATGATAATTTTGATATTTTCTAAGATTTGTTGTTATTCTGGGCACCCAAATATTTACGTGTGGTTCCCAACACTATCCTCCATCACTGTTTTCATTGTTTTATTTCACTGTTCCCACCAGAATCAGATATGTTAATTATCAGTCAAAAACTCAAATTTGCTTCCTTTTATGCTTCATATTCCATTATCAAAGTTAAGCGCAATTATAAATATAATGACCAACCTACTAAATTGTGTACATTAAATATTCATCAATTGGGTTTTAATACAGTATCTGTCCGGACAGAAAATGAAATTTCAAATTCATTGCTTTGACTAGTCAAAGTTAAAGTGATAGGATTTAGGAATATAATTGAAATTATTATAAAACAAACGAGTTCAAAACCATAATGTAAAACCATTCAGAACTATCTAAAAGGCATTTTGAAATGGAAATGAAGAATTTGAAATCCAAGTTTCCTGTATTGAGTTATATAAAATCAATATGCATTGTATTTTTTTTTTTTTGTTTTCATACTGTAAACTTAACTCAAAATAGTCAAAATAGCTGTGAAATTCAGATAACTTTATGAAATATTTCCATCACAAGAACGTATTTTCATAACCAACTGTAAGAACAGGCTATCATCAAACACATAACATGGATTTTGGTAAATATATGGATAAAATATGTGATTGATACTTGTA